CCTCCGAGATGCCCCTCTGCCATGGCACCCTGTCATGGAGCCAGCCAACTATGAATTGAAACCTCTACAAATTGTGAGCCAAATAAAGTTTTTCTTCTTTAACTTTGGGTGTCAGGTAGCGACAGAAAAAGTAACTAAGACACTAGTTTAATCAAACAGCCATGCACACTGCTCAGATGAATCCTTAAATCCTTTCTCTCTCTCTCCCTCTCCCTCTCTGTCTCTCTCCCCTCTCTCTTTCTCATAGACATACAGATGACAGAGGGTAATCAACTGCAAAACAAAAACCCAAACCCAAACCACAATGCCTCCTCCTCTCATCTTTTAATAAGTCACAAGAGAAACAAAAGGCCAGATTGTCCTAACATTAGCTCCTTCCTCTCCCATGACTCATTAAGCATTGATGTCCCTTTAAACTTTCCAATTGTGAGAAACCAGCTCTGTATGGATTAAGGGATTTCTTCCTTTCTCTCCACAGATCCGATGAGGCCCATCTGAAATGAAGCAGCATCATTCACTGAGAACAGAACCGGGAGATGTTCTCATGTTCTTCCTGAACTAGGCCCCCTACTGCAGAAATGCGCCTTGAATCCCCAAAGTTGCCTTTCAGAAGCTTTCCTCACAAATATTTTAATGATGTATTAATTTTCTGGAAAAGGTGGGGTTTGGGAAAGAATCTGGAAGTATATTTGAGTTGTCATATCTTCAAAATTAATGTCTTTATATTGAAGTATAGAACTAAAATGGACTATTAAACCCAATAATTAAACAATGTGCATAATGATGAAATTATAGTGGGCAACAATTTGGAATAAGTCCTAATTATACTCTGTGAACCTGAAGTCCCTGGCATGACCTCACATGCTATTTTCATCACAGAAATCGCTTGTATGAGCTCATCTCAGAGGTTTTCCATGTCTCTGGGTGGGTTCATGTTCAGGGAACAGAGAGGCCTCAGGTATAGGCCCACAGATAGCTGTCACTGAAAGCAGTCTGAAGGCAGAGCCCACCATCAACTGAAAGACTGGTACACTGGACAAACAAAACACGATGAAACTGCATCTCATATTTAGTAAGAGGGAATGCTATGGTCTTGGGCGTTTTCAAACATTAATCTTTCATCATGACACAACAGGGATTTCCTAAGGTTTTTTCATTTAGAAGTATCATCAAAATATTGAGTCCAGTAATTAAGAATCAAAACCATGGCACTGGGTGGGATGGTGTGCCTGTGATCCCAAGTCAAGATAGGAGGACTCCAAGTTCAAGCCCAGGCTGAGCAATTTAGCAACTTAGTGAGACTTTAGGCAAAGGCCCTGGGTTCAATCCCCAGTACCACATACAAACACAGACAAAAAGAGTATACCTGAATCTGTATATGTGTGTATATTTTAGTTAAGCATGTGTGTATGTTATGTATTTGTATATATGCAATATATATTATTTACGCATGCGTATTCTTAGAGGAATGTGAAAAAGGATATTATGTGTCATGAATTTCATATAGATCCAGCTACTGTGAACTACTTTGTAAACAAAAATTTAGAAATATAACAGATAATGGGAGTTATAAAAGCAAAAAGATAAAATATGCAGAGCAAGAAGCTAGAGGAGTCACCTGCATAAATGCTGACATTATGCCAAACACATTTGTAAACTCTGCACACAGATTGACTCATTTATTCCCCTTCATAACTCTATGCTGTGAATACAACTACTTTATAGGGGTAATAATCACAGTGCAAAGTGGTTCATAACTTGCCCAAGGTTATGCATGTGTTAAGTGGCAGAATCGGATTTAGAACCCAGGCATCCAGCTACAGAGCCCCACAAGGATCCCTAGAAGGCTTATGAGCCCTGCAGGCTCTGGAGAGGATGGAAAACAGTGGAGGAAAAACTGTAAACAGGGACTGTGCCAAGAATATGGACCTTACTGGGAAAGTGGTCATTGCAGGCGAAATAAGTGGAAGAAGAGAAATATCATGGCCGTAGGAAAGGTGGGCCTTGTGATCCAGATGTATTACATAAATGGTAGGTCCAAGATGAGGAAGTTTTTGGCCTGAGTGACAAAAAGAAGGGTGGTAAATTATCATGGGCAGAAAAGGAAAAGGATATTATGGCAGAGCTGAGATCTTCATAGATGGTGGCTTTGAAACAACTGAGGGCTTCCCACAAGGAGGTGTCCAGCAGGCAGCAGCAGATTCAAGACAAGAGCTGGAGTGGAACATCAGGTGGGAGAAGCTGGTCTCAGAGAGGTCTGTGAAGGGAGTGGAGCCTGAGATGATCACAGAGAGGACAAAGAGAAGAAGAAAGAGTGTCACAGAAAGGAATGACACTAAAGTAGGAAAGATATTGACAGTCATTGCCTGCAGAAGCTTCCCTGACCCCACCTCAGTTAACCCCATTTCCTCTGTTACAGGTTGAAGGACAGAGCATAATTACATCTGTCTTGTTCGCTGTTAAACCCCAAAAGCCTCATGCCTGGCCTGGGCCTAAGTCCTATATCCTGAATGGCAGACAAATGAGTAGAGGGTCAGAAGGATGGAGCTACAGAGAAGTTGGGAGTAGCAACTCATTTCCAGCCCAGTGCTGTGTCTGCTGTACCCTATCACCTCCCAACCCAGACCAGTGCCCACAGTTGCTCTGGAGCAGCCCCATCAGGCCCCCAAGATGGTTCACATGTCAAGAAGCATGTGTGTGCTGACAGGGTGCAGAGAGGCCAAGCTACCGCCACTTCTTAGTAGGCCACACTTCTCATTTACTGTGAACCGCCTGGCACACAAATAAAAGATCAAATCCAGCATTTCAGCTACTGTAACAAGCATAAAATGTTTACCAGGGCCAGAGGAAAAAGCAACATCGCACCCTCTGGCTCCACAGAACATTTACCAGAGTCAAGTCGCAGAAACTAGGATACTGGCCCCTCCACAAACACAACCACTTGCTTCTGGCAAATCAAAGAGAAGCCACTTATCCTTCCAGATCACATGAGCCTTTGGGTAACAACAGAGGACAGGAGCAGCTGGGGCTTTGCATTTGGTCAAAGCAACTCAAGTCAGAGGCATCAGCAAAGCTGAATCAGTCACTATTACCTGAACTATTATATTATATTAGCTTATATTAGTTTATATTAGCTAAATCTTTGATGACCAAGAGGAAACCAGAAGGCAATTAGTACATTAACTATCAGTGTTGTGGTTTGCTGGTGTACCAACTCATGTAGGCTATGGTCCCAGTTATTCAAACACTCATCTAAGGTGGTGTTGTGAGCATACACTGTACAAGAGATTTAAGTCCATAAAGGTTTGACTTAAAGGAATGGAGATTATCAAAGATAATCTCATCCAGTCAACTGCAAAGTCTTCAAAGGCAGAGTTAAGACTTTTCTGAAGAATTCTATGAATGGACAGCAGCTTAGCCCAAGGCAACAATTCCCTCTTGCTCTCTATGTAGAGGACTACCCATAAGCCTCCATAATTACCTAAGCCAAATCCTTATGATCAGTCTTTCACTATATATGTCCTGCTGGTTTTCTTCTCTGAATGAATGCAATCAGGGAGAGACTTGAGTAGATTCATCCTTTCAGTAAATAATTATGAAGGCTTTGATACATGCATACATTGTGTCATGATCAAAACTGGGAAATCAGTATATCCATCATTTGAATATCATTTATTTGTGGCCATAACACTCACGGTCCTTTCTTTGAGCTATGCTGAATTATACATCATTGTTCATTACAGTTTCCTTACTTTACAACAGGACACCAGATCTTTTTTCTCCTAATATTGTCTCTAACTTACTTCTCCCCAACTTCCTTCCCTCCACTGTTTCTCGTAAAAATATACAATTGTTGTGTGTTGCTCAAAAATAAAATTAGAAATATAAAACAACAATAATCACTGGCTGTTTACCAGTTTCCAAGGCACTGTTCAAGAAGGCAGAGATGCAAAAGAGGGGCAGCTACCTGGGCCTTGTGATGAATCAGTGTAGAATACCTGCTCCCTGGGTGTCCCCACAGCAGCCTGACCCTCTTATATGCACACACAGTGCCTGAATTACTCTCTCCTGATTATCCTAGAGGTGTTAAGTCTAAAGGTAATAAAGACACAGGATTCACTGTACAGGAATCAGATCTGTACAGTTTTTTATAAGACGCAAGACAGAACTTCAAGAACATCAAGTTTCTAAGCAGGAAAGTGGGAAAGGGTAGTAGAGAGCAGCCTCCAGGCAGTCGGGGAAGTAGGTCAGAAGCCATAAAAGGATACAAAGGTGCCTTAAAGGGGAAACTGGGTCCCTGACATTTTCTCTCCGACTGCCAAGTTTAGCTCAGACTTCTGAAACCTTGACTCTAGCCACACACTAACCCTTAATGAGCACTTTCCAGCCCCATACACACAACAGAGTGAGGGAAATATATGGCAAGATTTTTTTTTTAATCACTAGGAATTGAACTAGGTCTTCACACTGAGCTACATTCTCAGCTTTTGTGTGTGTGTGTGTGTATGTGTGTGTGTGTGTGTGTGTGTGTGTGTGTGTGTGTGTGTTGGGGATTGAACTTGGGAACTTATGCTTTCAAGACAGGCGGCAGCACCAATGAGCTAAATCCCCAGCCGCTATTTCCTTCTAATTTTATATATTTTTTATTTTTATAGATTCCACATTTGAAAGAAAATACACATACTTGTTTTTGTGAATTTGGCTTATTTTGCCTAATAGGATGATCTCCGTTTCTATCCATTTTCATGCAAATTAAGTGACTTTGTTGTTCTTTATGGATGAATAATACTGCAATGTGTGTATCTACAACATTGTCTTTATCCACTCATCCACTGATAAACACCTAGTGTGATGCCATAACTTGGCTTTTGAAACATGGGACTGCAGGAATTGAGACCGAATTTTCTAGAAGTCTATCTGGTGAAGAGCTGGGGAGCCTCCAAGGAGAATCACTCATTCTAAGAGAAAGAGAATCAATATCCCAAGTTTGATCAACTTACCCGCCTCTGTGTTGATGGTGAGGGTGAAAAGTTCCGCAGTGTCCTCATGCATGCCTAGTATCTCTGCAATAGGGATAGGGATCCCAAAGTTAAGACTAGAAGAATCCGTTTCATAAAAAGATGTGTATTCTCTCTAAGGCATTGAAAACACCAGATAGAACCAGATTGTGGCATTAAAGTGGATCAAAATGACACCTCCTTTTTCCTGGTCAATAGGACCAGACTTGGCAGTTCAGGGATTGCAGAGCTATCTCAGTACAGTTCTGGAGCAGCCATCCATGATGGCTGTTCATGGGTTGTCGGGAGCAATTCTACATGATTTGGGGGGAAAATCATTTCATTATTAAATCGTGATTAGGGCCTAGTGTTCCTGTTTACTGGCCAGCCATGTCTATGGAATGTCAAGACATAACTCCATCTTTGCCTCTGGTCCTGATATGCTGTGATGCTCAGGGCAGGACCACACCAGCTGGAGACATCCTGGGAGGAACCAAATTTTCATCTGCATAATTCCTCATTGTTCTAGGATCATCCCCTCTGAATCAATTGCTACTTTTGTTTTTGCTAATGTTCTGAGTAAAGCTGTGGCAAGCTCTGGGTCTGCTATCTTTACCTCTCAGAATGGCACTGATAAATTCCAAAGCTCAGCTTCTCTCAGTCTCATTTTCTGCCCATATATTAATTAATTTGCCTTGTGCTGACATGGCTCACAAGAGACTAGGACTCTGTGCAGAGTTCTAGTAATACTCCCTTTTCCTGATCCCCACAATGAGTGATGTGCAGTTGGAGAGGAGAGAGAAAGTATGGTTGCCATGGAAATAGTGGTAATACAGGCTGAGGCAGGCACCTTCGCAGGACTCTGTGGGCACCAGAAGATATGTACTAATTCCCCAAAATGAGAGTAATTATTATGTGTCACAAACATATACTAATAAATAGTCATACAAAAATAAAATCAATCATTTAAAAAGAACTGTCAACAGCAAATAGCACCCCCAAGAAGCCAGAGCTAGAGACAAGAAAGAAGGTGAGAAAAATGAGTTTCCTCAAGGTAGATAAGAGACCAAGGCTTGTGAGCTGAGGATGACATCCTTGATGAGTCCCTGGGAATAGGTGGAAGAGATTTTAATTCTATGGAAGAGGAGGAGGTGGGATTTCTGTCATTGAGGATGCAAATAAAGTCAAAGACTAGATAGTAACTCGCTGCTTATCCACACCAGCTTTTCTTCAAGAAACAAAGATAAAATAGGAAAATAATAATTAGAATATCCCAGTTCAAAATGGAAGATTTACAACCAGCGCTGTAGCAGAAGGGACCCTGTCCAAGCCACAGCACTCTGGCCTCATCAGAATACCTGTCAGCTCGGCTTCCTGTTCCTGCTACAACAAATTATCACGAAGCCAGTGGCTTACAATGACACAGATTGTCTGGGAATCAGAAGTCCTAACATCAGAGTAATGAAGGAGTTGGCTCCTTCTGGAGACTTGGACAGGAAGCCCCTTTCTCTCTGCTCCTGTTTCCTACGGCCAGCTTTGTTTCTGGTTCCATAGTCAGCAGACCATATCTTCCTCCTCTCTGGCCCCTTCTTTCCTCCTTACATCTTCTCTATCTTTCCTCTCATTATCTTAAATTTCTTTTTTTAAGGACCTTTGTGATTCCAACAGACCCACCCAGACAATCCAGAATAATTTTTCCACTCCAAAGTCTTCAATATTCATTACTCCCACAAAGTCCATTTTACCATATCAGGTAGTAGAGTCACAGGTCATGGGGATTAGGAAGGCACAAAAATCCTTCAGCAGCTGGTGGAGGGCATTATTCAGCCCACTACAAGACCTTTGTGAATCTCCACTAACTTACCTCTACTCTCTGCTGTCCCAGCCAAAAGAGCTTCTAAATATGGATGCATACTTGTTATTTGTTCATGTCCAAAGTCCTAGGTTTCTCCATAGAATCAAACCCATGACCAGCCTCCCTACTGCTACTAGGACTCTTACACTGCGGGGCATTTTGGAGTTGATGGGGGCTTTTCTGTTTAACTCTCAGGCTTTGTCTTTGCTAGAGACAAACAGTCATACAAAACACAAAAAGAGACACTTACAAAGCAGCAAAGTGGAGCCTAGATCCCAGCTCTCCAACTCTGAGTCAATGTGCAAAGACTTTTTCCCTGCTGACACCTCAATTTTGGACTTATAGTTTTCAGAACTGTGAGACAATGAATTTTTGTTGTCTTAAGCCCCTAGTTTCTAGTCATTCATTGCAGCAGACCAAGGAAAACAATAGAAATAGGCAAGCCAGTTGTACATATAACCCCAACACTCTGGGAGGCCAAAACAGGAGAACATAGAGTTTAAACCCAGCCTTGCTCAGTGACTTAGCAAGACTCTTTCTCAAAATGAGAAATAAAAGGGGGCTGGGGCTATAACTCAGTGTGAAGGCCCTATGTTCAATCTCCAGTACCAAAACAGAGCAAAACATTAGCTTGGATCTCACCTGATACTATTTTTTACTTTTGATGGCTTTCTTATCAAGCTTTATTTACAAATAAACTTTTGGCCCTCAGACTGTAATTTGCCCAATATTTTATTACATCTCATATTTAAATAATATTTATCTTGGTCTCTGAATTTTTTTGATGTCTCTTCAAAGTTTGTACCCCAAGCAAGTACCTCAGTGCCTCCCCTGGTCCAGACCTGTGTGCCTAAGATTTTTCTCCCAGTAGCTTGTATTTTTCCAGGCTGAATTGGTCTCCTTTCCTTCCAGCTTCTCTTCCAGGGTCTTGAATGCTGAGTAATAATTCTTGGCTTCCAATGATCATGACAATAGATCACATGTGTGAATTTAATACCATAGCTAATATTTAATGTGGATAATTGTGAAAGGTGCCAATTAAGGCCAATCCTAACCAAAAGCATATTGGCCTTCCCCTGGGGAAGGAGAGCAGTATTATTGTTGGGGTATCCTGTGTCATTTTCCTGCCACATCTATGCACCCTAATAGCCTAACATGCATACACAAAGTGTATCACTTGGATATCATATTGACGAATGTTACAAAAGAGATGGCAGCTAATTAAAGGGCAGACCATCTTACGTTGGCCGTACTGGTTGCTCACTCATCACTAATGTGTTTCTTCCCAACAATGTCTTTTAAATGTGTTTGACATTGAGCTTTGGGCTTGTGTGCATGTTTTTATTTTTTTATACAATATAACAGAACAGCTTGCTCATCGACTCATGTTTTTCCGTGTAGTTTTTTTTTTCTTTTTTCTTTATTGGTACACTTTAGGTATACAGTAGAGTTACACTCATCATTGGGATCTTCTACCTTTACGTGATGTATCTTGGTTCTTATTTTTTCCCTGTTCCCTTGCTTCTGTGTAGTTTTAGATGTACCCCATAGATTTGTATCTTAGGAGGGCTTCAAGGAGTGACAGACTACCAAGGCATTGGGAAATTGGGAACCTCACTGCACAGGTCTGAGCATGCCTGGGACAAGTCACTGTTCCCTTTCCTATCTTTTTCATCTGTAAAATGGAGCAACAATTTCTACCCTTCTTTCTCATAGTACTTATGAGTTAAGAGCATAATACATCTTCAAGGGCCTTGTTAACTAACGTGCCTGCTACACCAAAGCTTACAGCTAATTATGCACTGGGAGCATCCCTGAAGTAATGTTTACAACCACAAAACTCTGGAAGTGAGGATTGGTGTTAACTTATGGTATATTAAGAAAATGAATAAATATGTTTTCATTAAAAAATAATTGACTTGTAGACAGACAGTAGACAGTTTAAACAGATATAAAGAGTTCTATGCAACTTTGGGGAAATGTCAAAAAGGATAAGCACCAAAGCTAAATGTGAAGGAAAACCAAATCTCTGAAGAATTAAAAGAGGTAGCTAGGAAGGGGACTTTTATTTATTTCATATTATACTTAAGCAGTGGAATTAGGGGTTAGTATTATTTAGTGATTTTCAGTTTTTAATTTTTTAAAAAAGAATTAAGGAAAAAAAGTGCTATATCTTTCAGTGCCAAATCTTTAGCTATCAACATATGTTAGATGGTTTTACATATATTCTCCTGAAGGCATACATTTTTAATCCCTAACCTCACATAGACACACTTTTCAATAGCTGGGGGACCCAACCTCATAGTGATAAAGGGACTTGCTCAAGGTTAAATTACCAGTAAATCAGAGCAATGGCCCATCCCCCACTCTGACTATGATCCTGTACTCTTTCCAAGTTCACCCTACTTCTATTGCCATAGAAACTATCTTGTGTTCGCTTATTCATCCTTTCCAGAAATACTCAATGAATCGTAACTCTGTTTTAGCACCATACTTGGTTCCAGAAAGAGCTCCAAGGATGAAGAGGGCAGGATTTCTACATTTGAGCAATTAAAAGTCTCTGGTATTGTTAATAAAAAGCAGAAAAAAGAACAATGCTTCATGGGCAGAGAGAGAAAGTAAACATTTGGGAACTGTCCATTTGTGCTGGCTACTCTTAGGAGGTTGAGTCAGAAGATGGCTCTGATCACCTCCATCAGACAGTGTCCCTTAGGCTGAAACACAGTAAATATGCCCAGCCATATTGGTTCACACTCAGTTTCACTGTTTTTATCCATTATGGATATATCAGTAGTGAAAAGAAGGACAGAGACCAAGGAATTTGCAGAAATTTGAAGGAAGAGAAGGGCTCCGGTCATGTTAGGAAATATATAAGATATAAAAGTTCAACTAATGGGTGCTAGAAGTGGAAACTAATCTCTAGAGGATCCTGTAAAGTTCATATTTATATGGAAAAGGAAAAAAAAGTCCTCTGACTCAAAATAAAGAAACAAAGACTTAAGATGCTCTATGTGTAATTATTTTTTTAAGTTTTTTTTTTATTGAGTTTATTGGTACAATCGCTTCTCGGCCTTTTGGCTAAGATCAAGTGAGATTATTGGTACAATCTAGGTATACAATACAGTTACATTCATCATTGGGATTCTGTACTTTTACATAATAGGTCTTGATTCTCATTTTTCCCCTTGTCCCTGCCCTCCCTTCACCCCCT